GGCAAAAGTCAAAAAAACACGTTTTGCGGCAATTCCGCCTGTCAACTAGGCAACATCTGTACACACATGCAGACGGCGGGTTGCCTAGATGGCAGGCGGAATTGCCGAAAAACGTGTTTTTTTGACTTTTACCTATGATGCCGGTAAATGTTATAGATTAGCGTTGGGCAATCCATAACACTGAATATTTGCTACGTTCTCGCACAAACCCGGTCGCCATTCGCTGAATATGTGCACCGCTGCAGCGAAAATACTGGTTTACTTTCATTTTACCTGCGTTCTGGACAGATAGGTGTTCTCGACACCGAAAATGGAACGGCCTAACGTTCGGTGTCATTATTCTACAAACTGCGGCACCAGAAATGTTCAGCGTATGAAAAGAATACTTCGTTTGTTGAGTTTTACTTACGAAGTAGACAGAAAAGGTACCTGGCAAAAAGATGGTTTGAAGCGAGCCGTCACTCAAACGGGCCGAAGGCCCGTTTTTGGATAAAAGATGTACTACACCTTCAAGCCTACACCTTAGGGCTAAGCCAAGCTGGGCCCGCTCCCTGCCGAACCGAGTTGCCGGTGGAGCGAAGCGAAGCTGGCAACTTGGTTTGGCGGAAGAGCGGGCCCAGCTTGTTTGAACTTGCTATTCTTTTAAAACAGCAAGGAAGCTGTCAGAATTCTGGAAGATATGCAGAACCCATACACATGGGCATACCCGTGTTTTTTTTTAGATATGTCCTGGATTTCTCGACAAAGTTTTATGCTCTCTTCCAGTCAAAGAAAGTGCTTGTCCACAAGTTGGCAAAAAACTCTGAAGGGATGCTCCGAAATGTCTGCCAAAATTTTGTTAAGCCTGTTCTGCTCAGTCACATAAAAAAAGTTGAGTTTGCAAACGCAAGCAATATGGTAAGTTTGCATTATATAATTGTTTTTACGGAGTTAGATCGCGTTGTGATACTCAAAATAATAATGTTGGTAAAAATTTGTCCGTTTCAGATGCCCCTAGAACAAGTTTTTCTTGGACCAGAAGTCAGTGATATTTTGGATAAAATTCACTTGAAAATTGACCCCAATGCAAGACCCGCCGATGTCCAGGCTCAAGCAGAGCAGAAGAGGGCCAATGACATTAAGGTCTTTCGCCTTAGGTGCCTGGACTTCTACACGACGGCTGCAAAGGAGTTGCGAGATCTAGCCCCCCTTTAGGACCCATTTTTTGAGGATCTGGAATTCCTAGAACCGGAGAATGCCTTGTCCTTCGCATACCGCGAGCGACAGAGGGACCTTCTTCGAGTTTGTAATCAATTCAAGGTGAGCGCAAATTTCCCAGGGTTTCACCATTGTGTGTATTATGTATTGGCAAAGGGCCGGAAGTACACTCGTTGCATGTAAAACATTTTTTTCCCAGAATGTAGCCGGACTCGGACTTGACGCCAACCTAGTCGCGTTTGAATGGCGCACAATGCCCGGCATTATTGAAGGTCGTCTGAAGGAGGACCACAGTAAAATGTCAGTGGAAGAGTTTTGGTTTGAGGTAGGGCAACTTAAGGTTTTTCAGCACACTCAGCAGTTCCCTCACCTCTGGAAACTGGCTCGGACCGTCCTCACCCTGCCTCACTCCAAACGCCGACGCCGAGACAGTTTTCTCCATGGTGACCGACGTAAAATGTGACAAAAGGAACAGGATGGGAAATGAAACACTAAATGGCATTTGCATTACCAGATCAGCCATTAGGTGAAAGAAAATTTCGTGCACTGATTTTAAAGTTAAACAAAGTCATCTGGACAAGCACAACAGTGAGACTCTGTATAAGAAGTAAACTAGTCCAATTTAATTTTAATCAAAATGTGCCCGGGTGAAACGGTTTGTATACAGCTCACTAAGAAATTTTATTACAATTTATAGACTTTTATAAAATTGAATATGCTTGTGTACACCGTAATATAACGATGTAAAGGGTGTTTTACAAATGTGTATTATATTTGGTAAAAGTTTATACAGTTATATACAGAGGCATGTATACGTTTTTATAAAATCTAATACAATGTTTATACAAAAAACGTGCCATATATAAAGCGACGTATATTAGAGCATCGTTGTACCTCACGCATGTATACAGCCCTATACATGTGAATAAAAGCCACCTTGCCCTACATTAGAATGTATACAGGCACATACACTCATACAATGACTAGTAACGTTTCTGGGCACTCCCCTAAATGTAGGCAAAATGTGGTTGAGTTCTAAAATGCAGCATAACTTGAAAACGGCTACACATAGGGAAGTGAAACAACCACTATCGTGCTCAGGGCAAAAAGGTGATTCGGAAAACAAATTTGCTGAAAACGACAGCCACCCACTCAGGCCGCTTCTCCCGTGAGTTTATTGAAACGCTCAAGTATATATTGTATAATATTTTATAAAAAGGTATACTGACAAAGTAATACAGTTTTACCAAATGTAATACAATCACCTTTATACAGCTTTATACAATTGCTTGTATACCGCTGTATACAAACTTAATGTCAACGTTTTTTCACCCGGGTGGTGTGTATAACTAAGTTCAAAAGTCTTAAGTTTGACTTGTCTTAGCCCTAACAATTTTAATTATTTTATGTTATGACTTGTAATCTCCTTCTTATGCTGAAATGTTTCCTTTTTTCTATGCAAAAGTGTTTAATACATACTGATAATAATACTGATTCAATTTCCAAACTTGTCTGAAAACCTGTCACTAAAACTGTTTAAATTTGCCGCCCCTGTTGATTTCAGTGCTGACAACTATTGCTCGGTCCCTGTTTCCATGTTAATTCTTTAAATTTGAAACGAAACGCATTCTAAAACATCTCAAATACACCCCTTATACCCAAAAGGGACAAAAACGCCACTTTTTTCAGCAAAAAACAATAAAATGCCAGTTTGAGGGAAATTTCCACCCTGCGCGAGGGAAGATCCCTCGCTTGGGTCTGGCAACTATGCCACTTGCCGCCAATAACGTAGCAGCAAACAATATTATCCTTGTTATCGTAATCAGTTTACGTTCCAGAAAAAGACTTATTTGATGCCTGAGCATGCATATTCTTTAGCGCCAATGCCTGATCTGTTTAGCGCCTAGCACCAAAGGCGGCGGCACTAGACGTCTTTTGCCCCAAGGAGCTAAACTCTATGGTGCGTCCAAAAATTTGGCCTGGGCGGGCCTGGGCACTTAAAGTTTATATTAGTGCTCCTAATCTTTCAGCTGCACCTGATCTGTCTACTGTTACATATCCTCTACAGACAAGGCAGAATTTCTATATTCCAACTTGTGTCCGTGGCATACAATGTCATAGGTAAGGCAGATTGCAAAAAATACGTCGAATTAGGCCGATCGCCGAGGCCGCCTGGCGGCCTGACACGCCTGGCTCAGGCCGTGGCTCGGCCTTATACCAGGCCGATGCAGGTGAGGGGAGAGGAAAGGAGCCCCGCTCCCCACCTCTTGCCCGTAGGCGGCCTGTATCAGGCCGAGCCACGGCCTGGGCCAGGCGTGTCAGGCCGCCAGGCGGCCTCGGCGATCGGCCTAATTCGACGAATTTTTCGCAGTCTGAGGTAAGGCTTAGGTTTGCTGTTATGCATAAGAGTTCCCAACATTGGTCGTTCTATGCCCCAAAATTCTGAATATTCCAGATTTACTGCTCATTATATTGATAATTATGGGAGAGAATATTTTAAATGCCCAGGTACATTGATGTAACTTCTTAAGTTGCCCTCGAAGCCTGTTTGATTTGCCATAATTTTCTTCCCATGTCAACCATATTTGAGTTCATCACATTTTTCTCTCTGGACGAACTTAACGACAATACGGTTGATTATCTTTCTTCGATCTCTGAATGGCATCAATATTTGATGCCTCAATGGAAACATTGCATACCCTTCCTATGTCTCTGATAATTTCAAATAAGTTTTCATCGTTGGTGACTGGATTCCAAATATCTCAACGGTGTTCTTCCTAATATATTCATTCATATGGTTTATTGAAGTAAGGCATTTTTCAAGCTGTTTTTCGAGTATGTTGTTTCACTCTTTTAGAAAGTAGATCCTCTCCTCATGGTCCTCAGTTTTCCTTTCAATCTGAGATACTCTTGACTTGATGTCATTCACTCCGGATTGCAGATCCTTTAAGGAGCTAGTATGGCTATCTAGTTTGGCAATTAGAGAGTCATCCAGTTTCTTAAAATGCTCAAGGATTGACTGAAGTCCCATGTTCTCCTCGGTTAGAGAGGCAACTGCTACAGATTCCTCGGAGTTCATAACCACACTTTCTGGTGCCGACTTGAGGCAAGTCTTGCAAGCATAAATCCAGAGGTTTTTCGTAGGTTTAGACTGAATTTTTTCGGCGCTCTTGGTTTTATGAACAGGATTGAAACACTTGCCACAGTCTGGCTCAGCCGATCTCCCATCAAAACTCTTATTACAGACAGAAAAAAGCCCGCCGCCGGCCATCTTGCGTCACCGCCTTGACTTTATTTATTTGCTCTAATAATTTAAACTTTTAATATTTTTCATATTTACTTAAATATAATGAGTTTACATCGAGGGGTAAACTAGCTATATGTACGCCAGACCACGTCTCGCGTAACAGGCTTCGCGATATCTCACGAAACACTGTTACGCTGCGACGCGCCTGGCGCACACATAGCTAGGCCTGCGGCACTGACACCCGAGACGAGTTAAGGAGAGGGTAGGGGAACAGGGTCTTCCGGGCCCAAAATTCGACATACTCGAACCATTTGTCGGGGTCTTCTTACTCTAAAATTAGGGACATGGAACTTTTGCTGTTCGGTAACGGTTTTCATTAAAAATCGAATTTTGTCAGATTGTTATGTAAAAATCAACGTTTTAGTGGTAGTAGATAATCTAGCGTTAAAAACAGCATGCATCTCAATGCATGCGTTAAATACAGCATGCATACCATGCATGCTTTATATAACGCATGCAATGCATGCTGTTGGGTTTTCAGAGAAGGTATATGAACACTTCTTATAGCTCTTTTCAGCCCGCCCTTTTGCTTTGAAAAAGCTATCCAGCGGGCTTATGCAAACGACCTCGTGTCTGTGTGTCTGTCTGTCTGTCTGTGTGTCTGTCTGTTCCACTAGAATAAGGAGATAAGCTAGAGACTTGAAATTTTCAGGGTATCTTAAGGTCCACTCCTAGAGAACGAAACGCCTACGGCGAATCCTGGCAACCAGCCCTAAGAGTTTGAATGGGGGTATCAAAGGTTCAGAAATTCTCCCGAAAAGTAAAATTTTTTATATGTTCCCTCAAGAGGTAACTCGTGAAAGTAGGGCCCTATGGGCGAAAATTTCGTCCGTTTTGCTCTATCTCTAACCGTTTAGGCGCTAGAGGGTCTTTTTGGACGAAAATAAGCTAAAATTGCCATAGTGAACACTAAGTTGTAGAAAAGAGCGTAAAAACCGCAAAATATGAAAGAAACTCTCCCCCACCCCCAAAAAACGTTTTCTAAGCAGAAGGGCCAAGCAGGCCCGGCCCCTGCCGAACGGAGTTGCCGGCGGAGCGAAGCGGAGCTGGCAACTTCGTTTGGCGGAAGGGCGGGCCTGCTTGTTTGTATGTGTCTGAGATATTTAGTCAAATCACATGAAATTGCATGCATTCCATATCCACATTTCAGTTCTTCAAGCTGTGCGGCTAGGAAGTTGACAAGTACTGCTAGTAGTATCTCAGACTTACTAAATACTCAGACTCAGCTAAGCCACTCAGACTCCAACACCAACGGCAGCATAGTTCAAAAGTCCGTTCAGAATGACGACAAAACTTCCAGCTTATAAACTGAGGTGAGTCCGGAAGCCTGTTACCCATTCTTTAATCTAGAAAAAATATTTCATCAAGGCTCCTGTTTCCACATGTTTAAGTTTGTTTCTTGTTGCAGGCCATGGAGCGCAATACAGAGGCACTTAATAGCCTAACTACAGTCATGACAACTCTTCTGAGGAAGATTGCTGAAGGGGTGTTAGATAGACAGCCTAACATTATAGTGCTAAATGAAGCTGGGAGTGTAACAAATGGTGAAAACTTGGTTGTCCTGAATGAAGGCGACAATGTGGCAAGTAGTACCGTGCTTGATAATAAAGCTGCCAGCAATACTTCGGGAAGTGGTGTGATACCTGACAGCAAACCTAGCAGCAATACTTCAGGAAGTACTAGTATCATCGTACCTGACAATGTAGCAACCAGTGAGCCTCAACAGAATTTTGTAAATGTTGACATTAAAATAAGTAATGACATGAAAGTGATGACATCAACAATAATATTGATAATGTAAGTAATATTGTAGTATTGGGGTACGGGAGCCAAATCAGTGTGAGCGACAGATCACATGAGTGGAGAATGGCGACGAGCTCCTGGCTCGCACCTCTATTTATTCAGTGTTCGGCATAACAAAGGGAAGAACAAAGGCGATCGTAAAACAATTAAATGGTTCTAATTAGAGTTGTAGACTGTAGATGTCGCTACCATAGTGATCACTAAGGCCGTGACTGGATGTGTTCTGCTCTAACCAGGTTAGGTTATGTTGCCCTTTTGTTAGGTTATGTTTGACTGATGACAATACTACACTACTCCCTCTTTTCAGACCCCCCCCCCTTAACAGCTCGTCTTACTTATACAATCAATAGAGCTTCGCCTTTGTCTCCGTTACAAAACATTTTAAGTTAAAGATTACAATTTGTTTGATTTATCTAACTTTAAATAATTTTAATGTTTTCAAATAATCTAACTAATCAACTTAACTAATCCTGTTGACTTCCACCTTGCGCAAACCTACGGCTTATTCAAACCTACTAGTCTGGCTCAGTGTGCAAACAAAAAGAAATTGACTTCCGAAGAGGGTTTAATTAAAAATCGTTTCTTTAATATACCAGGTGACTGATTCCACGCTGCGCACTTTCGTAGTAATACTGTACCGCATGCACGGGTGCGAGCAATATAATATTGGGCGCGGTAGTGTCCAGCGGGCGTCTCGTTGCCTCTCCATTAAGCCCTTCTCTCATGTTTGAATGATTTAAATAATAAACGTAGGAGTACGTGCAGCAGCCCGTAGTGGCTGAGCGTTAGTCAGTTTGCTAAAATTCTTAGAGGTAACGTTTTAAAGAGCACAGTTAAGTATACATAGAAAGCCAGGGAAGCGTGATTGAAGAATGGGGGGGGGGGGGGGGTCAATGGAAAATTTGAAAAAGATCAAAAATAAAAATGACACTCAAAATCGAAATGGTAAAGTTCTTGGCATATTCCATTTGGTTTTTTTACATTTTTAATGTTACTAATGTTACAAGTTTGAAAGTTTGTTTCTATTTGTTATGTTCAGGCCTCAGTCCCCAGTAATTAGATTTGAGAGTGTGATGACTTTTGACCTCGACAAAGGAATACTGTTAAGATATTTACCTTACAATGTATCGAACAATAGTAGAACATCCAAATAGCGTAAAACTCTGGGTGAGGCAAACCCTTGTTACAATCAGCTGGAGAAATTTTATTCAATACCCTCACTTGCCTCTGGTTAAAGTGAAA